TGAGCCCGTACCGGTCTCGGCACGCTTTTTCAAGGGTAGTGTAAATGGGGAATTTGTGACTTAAAGAGTTGACGCATGAGTTATTTTAAATAATTCTTCAGGCCAATATACAGCGCTTGACACTATCAATGCTACAAGCGGTCCTCCCTCGCCCGGCTTTAATTGTTGTCCAAACCCTTTTGAATCTTGCAGAGTCCTCTTATTTCTGGTTCGCATCTTTTGCTAGCTTCCATGTTTGCAGGCCGCTGCTCTATTTGCTCACATATTTAGAAACAGGGAGGTAAACAGTGAACTAGACTAACGCATTAGTGATGGAGAGGACCGATTGTTTATAGGTAGATGGTGAAAATGATTGGGTTAAAATTACAGTAAATCTCTTAACTTTTTGGTCCTTAAAATAAATAAAAAAAAAAAACAGAAAACTTTAAACATCTTGGCCTCAAAAGCTTTATTGGCAAGCTAATAATTAAATGAAGGAAGACCTTCAAAGTCACACTAGTTTCAAAAACTGACGTTAATGTAACAAGCCACTGCACACATATTTCAATATTTTATATCAAAATAACTTTAAAATACTTAAGCTTTTAAGATACATCTAAGAAAGTTTTAGATTTTTTTTTTTTTAAACAGACAAAATTTCCTTTACATAAATCATTCACCTGAAACTTCCTCATCATAGAGATTTCTATATAATTTATTCCATAAGACTTTTCATATAGCTAACATTTAATAGCTAAACATGAAGGGAACACAGGGACTAAAAACACCAAACAAACATCAGAGTGACTCACTACAGCTCAATCAGTGCAAATCAAACCCTGGGTTATGGGGGGGTGGTGGAGTGGTTGGGGGATCCTACTTAATTAACAACAAGGTATATAAGTGACAAACAAACCTGAAGCAACACTTACAGAATGGATCAAGTTCTACTTCTCTGCCTGGCTGGTCCCATCATTGCAGTACTACAGGGCTGTGTACAAGTACGAACCGTGTACTTCTTCCTCTGAGCTGTTTGGGTAATTTTACTGACAGGAAACAGGCCTTTGATCAGCAGCTCGTGGATCAATTAGGATCTCAGGAATAATGTTTCTTTGGGAGAGCTGAGTGTGTGCATGTGTAAAGCTGCAGTCTTCTCTCTCTAGGCGATAGCTTCCTCCCTGCCTGCCTGCATTCATGCATGTTTGTTTGCTGGAACTGTGTGGTTAGAGTTCCTCCGTCATCTGCAGCAGAGAGTTGATGGCAGCATCCTTGTCTCCCTGCTGCGCCTCCAGCACCGTGCGAACCACCTCCTTGTCCAGGTTGGGGAACATGTCCTGAAGAGCCTGCAGGTCCTCCTCGCTGCACACCGGCCCTTGGCCCCCCACCCCCGGCATGGTTGTCGGTACAGCCATAGGTACAACGCCCTGGTTGTAGACTCCAGGCACTCCTAATGTTGACACAGACAGACAGTAGGAAAGCAGTTCTAGTTCATAATGTGTGCAACAATTATTGCAGGTCATTAGAATACATTTAAACATTGCTTCACGTCTCTATACTTCATTCTCAGTGTGGGTTTAAATCACCTGTAGTTCACTAAGCTGGCTGCAGAGGGCAGTATAGAGGCAGTACCCCAGAGCACCCAAATGTTTTCATTAAAGGTATAGGGGAGGATTTGTGTGAAATTTTGAAAAGAAGCTCCTCTCCACTTCAGAAAAAAAATGCACATGCACCCGCATGCGGCTCTTTAGCGCCCCCTGTTGAAGCGGTGCGTGGTGACAGTATGGAAAGCTGTTTTGTCCAATTACTCATGATTTCTAACACATAGACAACACGTCAATGGCACGTATTTTACGCGTTCTTTGCACGTTTTTAACGTGTTGTCTTCGCTTTTTAATCGGTCACACAATTAATGCATCAAGAACACGTCGACTACGCGTCAATTACGTGTCAAGTACGCGTTGCTGATTAGTAGAGTATGGCAGACAATTTTTGACATGTATTAGCTTGACTACATATGTAATATAGATGTCTCAAATGCATTTCTTCCTAGTCTAAATGAACATTTCATATATCTGAAATGTAATTTTTACTAGTAAACATGACATCACGTTTCTCATACATTTGTATTGGGCTTTTACTTCCAGATATCTAAAATAACATTCTTCCTATGTAAAAATGAATTTTGATAAGGATGAACTCTAATTTCAGATCTCCATAATAGTTACTACAAGACATAATGAAAATTCCAGATATCAAAAATTTATATAACATTACAGATATCCAGAAATCCAATTCTTGACATCAAAAATACTTGTTGTTTAACGCGTAGTTGATGTGTATTTGACATGTTGTCAACACGTACTTGACGCTTTCATAACACGTTAACTAGGTGTGACAGATTGAAAGGCGAAGACAACACGTTAACGCACAAACGCACAATATGTGTCATTGAATTGTTGCCTACGTGTTAAAAATCATGAGTAATTGGACCAAATGGCTTTCCATAGCGCGTTCATTCATCCCCTCACCTCATGCTACTATGTGACATTTGCTCCGGGATAAACATTTAATAATGAATGTTTATTTTATATTTAAGCCCACATAGCCCCTTTATATTGTGGGCTGATATGCTTAGAACCTGTGTTTCAGTACAAGGCTTATATAAGACCTTTACATTTTTGCTGCTCCAGACAGATTCGTTTTTTTGGTCAAATAATGCTCTTTAAGCAGTTTGGGTTGCAGACCCCTGCCCTAGAGTAAACGCCTATTAAATGCGTGTGAGAGCATGCACAAGCCCATTTCTCCTGGTACTTCTTCCTCTGAGCTGTTTGCCCATCTGCACCTGCTGTTAGCCGTTAGCTTTGGAGCTCCGCTGATTGCCGCGGTCCTCTCAACTTCGGAAATCTTTTTTTAATTACGCATTAAATCGGTAAATGGACCATATAGTGACACTTTAATGTATAATATTCTCGCCTCAAATGATCTTAAACATAGTTTTATTGAACAACAGCAACAGAAAAGACAACCTTTAGCTTTGAATGGAGCGCTCCATTGAAAGCTGCTGCCGCAGTGCATGCTGGGACAGCTGTCAATTTCAAGAATGGACAAGTCTGCTCTGATGCATACTCGATAAAGACAGCGGGGCGAGAACAACATCCGGGGATTTGGTGCATTCCCGGCAATTGGAACAGTGCTAGGGCTGAGGCTGATGACGTGTCACGAGCAAACGAGAACGCTGATGAACACATATTGAGAAACAGCCTATGTTTAAAAGTTGCCGTTTGTATCGCTCATGCAAGCTTACTTTCCAAAATAAAATGTGTATTTCTTCCACTATTTCAGATTCACCAATGCTAAGTGAAAATGGGTACGAGCGCGTAAGATGGCCTTACGTAAACATATTACCAGAACGACTGACAATCAGCAGGACAACTTATTTTGATGATCCACCTAAAAAAGAACATCCTCCACTAAACCTTTAACTAGGAGAATGATAAAAACTGTTTTTCATGATGAGACGGTTCTCTGTTAGATAATTGTAGGTGAGAATAAATGAATGTAAAGCTGAAATATCTGCTCGGTTTATCCAGATATGAATTAACTCAAAGTAATCCAATATTTTCTCTGGTCAGCAGAGACGCCCTGCTCTCTGCTGACTGAGTGATCAAACTCTCCATCCCTTACAGCAGAGATCACTAACCACGGCCCTCCCTCAAGGATAAATAACTTCCTTTATTCTTGCTGGATTTTTTTCCCCCCACGTCTAAATTGTGTTTTATTTAAAAACAAAACAAAAAAAATATGACAGGATTCTCTCTGTTACGTCTGCCTCTCGCTCTTGACGTATGACGGTCACAACACTGTGGGTCACATGACACCTTCAACCACTCTTGTTCATGTACTTTGGTTTCCTAGTGCGAGATTAACATGAAGATAAATAAATAGTAGATTTATTTCCTCTATTATCTAACTGGAGCTCAAGAGCGTACATCTGAACAATTCAGCCATTTTCTAAAATTTATGCTGCAAACATTCCCTCATAAAAGAGAACAAACCTGATTGCAAACGATTTGCTGCCCTTGTTAAAAGCTTGAAGGTAGAAGGGTTTTGTTTTGTATTGTCAGGATAATTTGGATTTTAATGTTTGATCAGTAAAAATAGACATTTAAAATAAATAATATAAAAAATGGCCGTAAGGCCCCCTACCTGTTATTCCCTCAATCACAGAAGGTTAGGAATAAATTATCTAAACACTTATGGATTTCCGATTTAGGAAAATCATTTAATAAAACATTATTTCACCAAATAAACTTTTATTCACCTCCTTTACCTTCGTGAATTGGTTTAAACACCTTCCGATTGCTCTAAATGAATAATAAGCTGATTTGATCTAAATCCAAACTCTAAGATAATCTTTAGTTTTCCCACATAAAATCCTTGTTGAATTGTGAAATTATTGCATCAGTTTATTTCTTCTTTTATGTGTAGATAGAAGATAATTAGTTCTAGTTCATTTGCACTAGTTTAAGAGAGTTTTATCTGAAAAATGTTTCCATAGGAGTTGAAGGATTTTTGTCATTAGATTCTAATATTTTGACTGAATGTTGCTCCATTCAGGGTCAGACGATGAATCATGCTTTAATTTGTTATTCCAACACACAGCCAGGAGGGCGTGTTCACAGAACAATACATTATAATCTGAGTTATTTGATTTAATATCAAATAAAATGAAGTTACAATGATTTAAAAGGGTAAAAAATAAAGGATGGAGGAAACTAGAGACATTTAACAGTGTTTAAACTAGAGTAAAATGAGTGAAAATATTTGATAGTTAAAATAACTGAATGTGATGATTGATTAGTTGATTAGTTGAAGCATCTCACCTGTGATGGGGACATAACCTACTCCTTCCTGATAGACGGACGGCATGAGGACAACAGGCTGAGTCATCATCGCTGCTGGTAAAGACTGGAGGAAACAAAAAGCTTAGATCAGGTCAGATAATTGGACAGATGAGTATCAGTGTGAGGTTGCAACGATTGTGCAGAAAAAAAAATTTTTTGGCTGTACAATATGCAGGTTTTAGTGTCTCGCTACAGAACGAGGAATCAACTTCTGATCTTTTAAAATGTTTATAACCCTTAGATATAATGGTGTATTCTATATTAAAACAAACAAAACAAAAAATCGGTGTGAGATGATAAGCTATAACTCTGTCCTGCACACCAGGTATATTTAATAAAACTTATAGTTAGAGCGGCTCAGCTTATCCTGAGCTATCGCTATAGTTATGCTGCTATAGGCTTAGACAGCTGGAGGACATGGAGACCATTTCTCATCATTCTGCTTCATTCTATCTCTATTCTCCCATTGCTCAGAGTTTGTTAGTTCAATCTCTATCGTTCTGCTCTCTCTGCTTTTTCTCATAGTAGCTTCATCTAGTCTGTTCCTGTTTGGCTGTGACTCCATCCTGGAGAGAAATATCAGCTGTGCTGCTGCCATCAACACCTCTGTTTATAGATGTTGGAGCTCACACTGAGCCTGGTTCTGCTGGACGTTTCTTCCTGTTAATAGGGAGCTTTCCTCTCCACCGTTGCTACAAGTATGCTTAGTGTGAGGAATTGCCTTCCAGTCGAAGCAATCAGCCGGTTTTCCTTAGATGGAAAACTTTGAACCAATCTGACTGGATGATTCGGCTGAATTGTCTCTGTAAATTTCCAGGAGAGGACGTGTTGTGAATTGAATTTAATTGAAGGTATATGTGCCTTTTTCCCTCTGAGCTCTGTAGGGCTCTCCGTACAGCCCTGCCGTGTTAAAAGGTTAAGTTTTATAGAAACGTTAAAGAATCAATAATTAAAGCTTCTATAAATCTTCGGATGTTGCTGTCAGAGAACATGGCTGTGGGTTTTATTAATACTGTTAATAAAAAGTTATTGTTAGTTTCCCAGAATATTCTTCTGATCAGAAGAAATGGCACAAACTGTTAGTTAAACAGGCGTCCCAATCTCTCTGTCGTCGCTTCTCGTTAGTTTATGTTGGAATGGTTACTGACCCGACCAGTGGAGCACTGGTTTTACTGGAACACCACAGATGGAGCCTAAATGTACTCACAGCAAACGACATGACCAGGTTGATCATGCCCTCCTTGTCGTCGCCCTGTCTCCCACTGAGACTGAACCACTCGTCCACCACGGTGCCCTCCCTCAGGCTCTCTGGAATGGTGACGTGTGTCCATGCGATCCTGTCGTCCATGGAGAACGCTCTCTGCACACAAACACACATCCACATAGAATCACAACAGCTCATGTTTGATTCTGTGGGACCTCACAGTTGTTCACATTTTCATTTGCAGGGCTCTATTGGCCAGAATTTTTCATTTTGATGCATATTATGATGCGATTTATTAAAACATTAACAAGGACAGCGTATTGCAATCTATATAAAAGTACACTCTGGAAAACCTCAGAAAATAGTGTAATTGCTCAGCTGCTGCTGAAGAGCAGCTGAATAACAGCTGGTACTGCACTGCCAACTAGTGGCTGGAGGTTTAAATGTTATATAAAAAGGAAGACAATAAAATGGAAGTTTTTACTCAAAATATTGTGAGATGAGACATTACACTGTGCCTTTTATCAGCCAATTAGAAGTACCCTCTATACTGGAAGCCATGTGGGGAGTTGGGAGTGAGATGACTGAGAGTGGTTACCTCCTCGCTCTAGACAAGGGTTAAATATAGATCCATGCCCTTCAAGGTCTATAAGACTCCCTAATGCCATGAAAGAGACAGATGCTTTGAAATGTTTTTATCTGACTTGTGAAATATGAATGTTTAATGAACTCAAAAGTTGTTTCTCTTGGGACGACCCAATGGTCGTGTGTGAGAATTCTCTTTATACGCAGGGGTGGGAAACCAAGCTGGCAGAGCCTCACTAACAGTTCAACTGTTTGTGTTGTTCTCCTCTGCAGAGTAAAATAAAACTATTTCTTTCTTAAATGTCAACTCTTTGCTCATTTTACTTCACAATATTTCTTTTTAATTTTAGATCCATTTGGCTGCATTTTGAATCAATACTGATATCCTTTAATGAAATGATTAGATATATTGTCTCATGAAATATGATTCTTTTACTTAATCAATAGCCCCATTTACACTACCCTTTTGAAACCGTGCTGAGATCGGTCCAAGCACGGTAACCGCAATAACTGTTGAGTGTAAATGGAACGCAACTTAACCGAACCGTACAAGACACAACCGAACCGCGTTAAATCCAGAACTAGTTCAACAGGAGGATGTTCGCTCATCGGCTCCGCTGTTCAAAGTTGAGCCAGGACATTCCGCACTCACCTTAATTTTCCTGCCGCTCCAGCGAAATCGCTCCACGCTCGCTCAAATTTTCAGGAGAAGGAATTTTCTGACATTTTTCCTTCATGTTATTCTGCCAGGGCTCTGAGAAACACGGCGTTTGATTTAATGATGTGACCGATTCATGTGTATTGTCTTATTTAACTGGCTGTTAAATTATTGCACTGTTTCCCAGCTGTGAACGTAACACCTCGCTCCATTCATGTTGCCCCATGTTTCCTATTTCATTAATAATTTATTTTACTAGACTACATTAAAAAAAGGTCACTTCAGATCCCACTGCAAATTAGATAATAGCCTTTAAAGCTACAGTGTGTAACTTTTAGCGACATCTAGCGGTCAGACTGCAGACCGCAGCAACATGAACATCTCCCC